TTTCGTCAAAATTGCAAAAATTAGCAAATTACTTGTAGTTAAAAAATGTTAAATATTCATACCTTAAACAATAAGAATTGAATACTTAACAGTAATTTACTTATAATTTTTCTTAGAGTTAAATAAATATAAAAATATGAAAAGTTGCAATATATGTAAATTCGTTTAAAGTCAAAATAGAAAATAATCAATCTAATATAGTATAATATACAACACACATAATACATATTATATATTTGTGTATGTATATCTATCATTAGTATATTATGTTATACAGATGAATTATTAATTTTAATATTTACTTTATTTGAAAATGCGAAATGTATTTCTTTACAAATTTATAGTGTTTTGTTTGGTCGTCGGATCGTGAATTTAAAGTTTATATTTAAATAAATATTGACTAGTGAAAACCAAAATCATATAAAAAGATTTGATTGTTCTTTTATTGAATCTGAATACTTAAAATAATCACATAAAGAATTTCAATGCTCGTGGTTATTTATATGTAAAGTGTGTACCTAACATTAAAACAATAATTTACCTAATCAGATATTGATGACAAGTATAAATTTCCTATTAATAAAACATTGAGAAATGTATCTATTGCTAATTTAATTAATTTACAGTTTCTATTAATGTTCCACGTATGACTAATACATTGTTTATACAAATTATGATAAAATTATTTATGTTGTCAACAGAAGTGTTCAGAAATAAATGGAACTGGCTGGTTAGGAAGAAAAAAAAATAACTTTAGAACAAAACTATATTGATACCAATGGTATTCCAATGTGTCAGGTGGTGGCAGATTGACACTGAGGAAAAAGAAGCTATACTCATAAAAGAAAATGTGATTAATTATCGGGAGTAATAATTTTTATTTTTTATAATATTAAATATATATACGTATATATAATATATAGGTGATGAATATAGCAGTAACACAAATAAGTTATTTTTATTATATTACATATCTTAACAGAGAAAATACTGTATAAAAATCACTTACTTTATATTTTCAGTAAGAAAATGTCAGCGATTTCTAAAAATCCGAAGTATTCTACTTTGTTGAGACAGTTAATTAAAACCAATATTGTTAAATTCCTTATAGAAATTCAAAAAGCAATTAAGTATCAAAAAAGTTTTAAGGCACCAAAGCATGAAAAAATACCTAACCTGTCTATTTATAAAAATTGTTTATAAATTCTACGTTATTAAGGATTTATTCAAAAAGTTATGAGAATGATTGAAATTATAGATCTTGTGTGTTGGATATTAGCGATAGTTTTGACTATATATTAGGTTAGCATGATGAATGTGATACATACGTATACTTGTAATAATAAACAAGATATTGGTGAAAACTTAGTGCCAGCTGCATTTCACTTTAAATTAATATCAAAATTTAAATTGGTTGCACAGCAATTTAGTTATAATATTACTAATTTATTACGTGATTTAACAAAAAAATATTTGTGAATAATTCAACAGTATGTTTAATAAATATATTGCGAGAAAACAAATTAACTTTTCTCGTAGGAATTTTCTATAATACTCGTATAAAAGCTGTAATTATATCGTTTAATTTTGATAGAATGTGTTTCATAGTCATTTATACAAAAAAAAAATTACTAACAGTAGTCGAGGTAAACACATCACATTTGATATTATACAGGTAAGTGCTCGTTAATTATTTCACACGCTTTAAAATTTGCATAGCACTTAACAATTTTTTCAATTTCTAAAATAATAATGAGATTGGTGAAAATTGTTAGGCGCCTACATTTAAAATACATGGTTTTTAACAATACATATAAAATATAATATATGATACTAAATAATAACTAAGTACCCAAAAATATAAAACTTATTATGGGAACTTAAGTAGATTGGTAATTACCAAAAAATCTATGCATTTATTAACTAGTTATAATATAATAGAGATTATTTATGGGCACTTTAAGTCATATGTATCAGTCGGTATATAAATCAATCTCAAGATGTCACAGAATTTTTTTTAACCAGGCACTTAATTTTGCACACTTTAATTTTCTGTAGATAATATTATAAACTAGTTACAACTACCATTTACTTTAACGTGTCTTATCAAATTAGACATTGTCTATTATGACTAATGTAACGGTCTACATATAAGCAACCGTGCATAGATGGTGTGCAATAGCTTGCGGTAAAAATAATTTAAATTTCTGATTATTTTAAAGTATTTTTTTTATTGAAATTAATTCAAATTAATTGTTAGTCAAAAAATATACAATTATTTCATAGAATGGCGTTAGGGGTGCTCGCTCTAACTCTAGTTGATCACGTCTGTAAAAAACCTATCTCGGATTATCCTATATAGATCCTATCCCCACTATTTTTGATCAAGCGATGTGCACCGTTGTGTTCCTACGATTCACGTGTCCTCGAATTCATGCTACGTCCGATGATCCTACTATCGTATGGCGTCCGGATAATGTATTACCCACGCTCAATCTCAACAATCGCAGCCGTTGAAGCTGGATGTCCTAGTAAATGCTATTTTATCGTTGTAACTGTTTGTAAATGTACGATATATTACTGTTATAATAAAACATACATAATACGTGGATAGTGTCCGATCATTCCCAAAAATACGAAGAGTGGTTCCTTCCTTTTATTGTTATTCAGTATTTTTAGGCCTGACGCGTGTTTCCAACTCAGATTTCATAAATACCTTCCTCTAATTAAGTCTAAATCGCGGTATATTATATCTATTATAAGATATCATAGCACATAACACTAATATACACTAATTATTAATAATAGCTATAATGTATTTATAAGCTATAATAGGTAACGTATGAAGTGCATTGCAACCAAGTACAACTTGCGCTATACTGTTATATGCCACCGTGAATTGAATTTTACTGTAAAATGTGTTTCTAACTTTAAAATTATTTATGATACTCCTGAACTTCTTATAAAATATTGCCGACAAGTCAAAAAGAGAGAAAGAAAGGGAGGAAGAAAGAGAGAGAGAGAAAGATAAAATGAAAGAAACAGACAGAAACGACAATACGCAACACGACACAGTGAGATCAGCAGCTTTTCACGTACCTCCCGGCATCCTTGCTGTAGGTCCAAAGGCTTTTATATCATATATACCTATAAATTACGATCTAGAGGATTTGGCTCCATTTTCATTTAAACACAATCCGAGATCACGTACTGGGAAATCCTTGTATAGCCCCCAGGATGGCCTGGCCCGTATTAATGTTGAACAGACCAAAATTCTTTTGTTACGTGTCAATATATATATATATAAAAATATGCACGTAAAAACATTACGCCGTTTTCATTAGGATAATTGATTTGCAATGACCTGCGGCAGGGGCCATAAAACAGATTAATAAGTTCTACATAAGTATAAAACGCAGGTGTTACCCGATATAGAAAGTGATATAATAATATGAAAAAACTGTTTTTGTATTTTAACCTTTATGGCTTCGTGGTGCGGAAAATCAAAATACAAAGCATATCGTTTTTGGCGATCAAATACCTGTTTTGTATATATAAACGTTAACTCACCCCTGAAAAGGACGCGCAATGCAAAAAAAAAAAAAAATTAAAATCAAAATCTGTCATCGTCAAAAGAGAGTGACAGAACAGTATATTACGTATTATTATATTTTCATCGAAGTCCTGTATACTTAAAAAGTATATATATATATTGTACATCAATTACTCGCGTTGTCGGCTCAAATCATAACGCACAAAGGAGATTGATCAGACGAAAGTTTTATGAACAGCGTCGCGCCAAACATGGCACCCTTGCGAACGGTATTTTCTGTAGTGCTCCGCCGCCGCTCGGTCCCCACCTTAATTAACGCACAAAAGCCCCGCGGCCAGGGATCGGGTGGGTGTCGGATGGGAGCCGATGGCTTTTAACCTTTGTCCTAGATTACAACCGGCCTGACGAAATGCAATTTTAATAATGCGACAAACGAGCCGTTAACTCATTTGTCAACATTATTTGTACCTGATATTATTATTTTTTTTTTACTTTTAATTATTTTCATAGTATCTCATAGTTTTCTTCTTTATTTATTATTACACTATCATTATTATTATTATTATTATTATTATTATTATTATAATGTGACCAATAATGTCTTTGAGAAGATAACTATATAAATATTGTTTTCATCACTTATTGTCATTTTTATTACTTACAGGGTTTTTTTTTTTTTTTAAATTATACTCGTGTACAAAAAAATAATAATTTCATATTTGATAAATACTACTATAGAGAGTCATAAAAATCTGGCACAACTTATTTAGACACTTTTCATTAAACTAAAATTTAAATTGGATATAATTTCGTTGATTTTTATTCGTGCATATCTTAATCATTAACAAATTACTGTACATATTTTATAATTTTTACTTATTTTTTTTATTCTTAACAGATAATTGAAATACATTTTCTTATGAGAACTTAAATTTGAACAGTAATAATGTATTATTTGTCTTATACCTATTTGTATTTTAAATTATTTCATAATACTTATACTTGATTTATTTTAATTTTTATGACAAATATAAATTATCTACGAGTATATTACTTTATTTATCTTAACAGTATATGATGTAGGTATTTAACTATTTTCTTGGCCAATAAATTATTATCTATCTTATAAAACATAATGATACCTAATCAAATAATAATGAAAAATGTCCGTTTTAATAACAGCTCGATAGTTTTTAATGATATTCTAAATAGCAATAATTATATAAAACTGTATAATAATAAATAAAACATATTCTGTAAAACAAAAAACATCCATTTTGTATGATTAAAAAAATAATAATCATTAAAATTACCCAAATTTAAATTTTAACTCATAATATTACATTTTACAGATATTTATCTTTTTTTAAAACGATTAATATAAAATAAAATACCTACGTATTTTTTAAACCATTAAACGCAGAATAAATTCTTGCATAAAAATATAACAACTATAATAAAAATAAAAATAAAATAATCATAAATAAAAAAAAAAATTGTCACTAAATCTTCACAGATCATACACGTTCTCTAAACCTAAATGTATAAATTTTTATATACAAATTCACAAAAACAGGTATATATATAAGTAAGTAAATTGTATAGTGTGTCGTTCGTTCATACAACGAAGTAATCTTAATATTATAATGACACTCTGGATCTGACTCGAAGTCGTAACAAAAAGTATGCAACTATTCTAGTGATCAGTAGAGTGATGACTAATGCATATACATCATAATTGAAATTATCAGTGGTCATTGCGACTTCATCTAAAAACTTTGTTGGATACTTGTAATGGCAATACAAAGAGTAACATGGCAAAATGCCACGTTTATCATAGATAGCAGCGACTAGTGCATCCAAACCGTATCTCAAGAATGATATTTCTGTTCCCCATTTTAATAGATATGGGATGTCACGGAGATTCACACCAAAGCCACTGAACATCATCAACAGAACAACGATAATGGGTCCAACGAAGTTACCGTTCTATATAAATTACATAAAGAGTGACATTTTTGTTTATTCAAAATATTTTCTATATAAATAATGCATTATTTTATTAAAATGTTATCATAAACTATAATAATATACATAAGTAGACACTACATTCAAATAGGATACACTTTAGGATATCTTTCAAAAGATTATATTATAATTTATAGGTGTTAAATACATAAGAATGTACAAAAAAAAAAATCGATTGGTCGGGATGCTAAGTATGATGAATGATGATAGTTAGATTAATCATTAATATTCTATACTTATATTTAGGAATTTATTAGATAAAATAAAGAAAAATTTTTTTATTTCAAATTTTTAACGACATATTATTGAAAAATATTACCTAAAGCTATACAGTAGATATTATTTATATTGTGTTAAGTAGATATATTATTAGGGCTGGAACTTCGATGCACTTAGCATTGTTTTTCAAAGCTTACTGTGCAATGCTCGTCTTGTCACAAATTTGTTTTATGTATATTTGAATGAGAATAAGAAAGTTTATTTTGTATTTTTTTTTAGTTTTTTGGTCATTTTCTTAATTTTTTAGAGCATTTTAGAGTTTTTGGAGCATTTTTTGAGTTTTTGGAAAGCAAGTGTATGAATTTGAAATTTTATTTTAAGATTTTTACACCAACATGGTTTTTAAATAAATATAACATGTTATAAGTAGGTACTCGTAATTCGTATTATATTATCGGCTTATCGCCATTATCGGACAAGGTTTGAGTAACCTCTATCTGCATTTCCTGTTAAATAATCTTAAATCGGTAAAATCGATGTCCGCGATGATATCGTTCGACATTCAGTACGAGTTTTGTCGTCGTTAACACCGTTTTATTACTCTAGTTAATTTTTTTCGATAATTTAATATAAAAATACCAAAAGTAAAATATTCAACAGCGAGTCGACTGCGTGCGTTTGGACAAGAATTTGGACATAATTTTTTTTTTTTTACCGACGGATTGGTGTTATTCTGTAAAATATGCAATGTGAAAGTTACTGCTGAAGATGAGATTAAGTCTATCTAGCTTTGTGTACAACTTTTTTTTTAGATTTATACTAAAACTATGTATTTTTAGTTTACACTTGTAATAGATTTTTACAAAGCATTTTTTTAAATTTATTATTGTAATTTATACTAAAATTATTTAAAGTAAAAATATTTTTAAATCATAAAAGCATTTTTTTTAGGGCATTTTTGGGGGTTTATTTAGAGTTTTTAGGTCATAAAAGCATTTTTTTTTAGGACATTTTTCTGGGTTTTTCAGGGCATTAAAATCCTAACCCTATATATTATATTTGAACAAAATATAATGATAAGGCTATCTCAAATCAACCTCCTATGTGTTACGAGTTATTACATATAGGCATATCGATCACACATTACTATAAAACGCAAACAGTACATTATTGTTTTATAGCAGAATACTAAATTTTGGACGTTTTCGTTCACTATTGTTCTAATATTTGCCGTAACAAAATAAAGAATACAATTGTATCTACCATTACCCATTAAGTATGAAGTGGAATTCGTTTTCTATAAACCGGAGAAAATGACGCAGATCAACTTCATCGTTGATTAAGTACTGTTTACGTCAATAGTGTAATAAGTGATGGTTTAGTATATGAATGGTGTAGACCAGCGGTTCTCAAACTTTTTATTTCGCGTACCACTTAAGTATATTATCAATCAGTCGCGTACCACTGAAGATTAAAAATCCTACCACCATGCGGCCTTCCGCAGTTCCGCGTACCATCATGTAGTCTTTCGCGTACCACTAGTGGTACGCGTACCACAGTTTGAGAACCGCTGGTGTAGACAATTTGAAAATGGACACACAGATGTGTATAATGAAATAGACCAAAAGTGCAAATAGATTATGACTGAAGTAATGATCCACCAATTGACCAATGTGTTTGAGAAAACAGATGTTTTAGGATTTCAGGTCTTTTAACAAGATTCTCCAAAATTTCTTGTAGTACTCGACACAGAATCGTATCTCAAAATTTAAGTTATCACAAACTAATTATAAATGGCTAAAAGTATTCAGCTTAGTTGGTAATTATATAAATACATCATACACGAAATGATTAATTTCACTTAAATGTTAATAAAAACGACCATTTTATTACTTACAATAACGCTAAACCAAGCGCCAATAATGAATCCTAAACTTTGAGAAATAAGAACCATTAACCAACTAATGAATGTAAACATGCCAAATCTATTCCATTCCAATGGTTGTCCTGTCATTAAATAAATAATCACTGAAAATATCAAACAACCAAGTGTCTGAAACAGAATAATAATATTGTTAATTACAAAATAAAAAAAAAATATATAATTATCAAGAGTTTTCTTACCGTAATTGGAATATCAAGTATATTTGTAGCGATATAGTACGATTTTAATGAATACCATCTATTAAAATGTTCTTTTGTCAATATAGAGATTTCAGCAGGAACTTAAAGAACACAATAAATTTGAAATAACATATTTTCGTTTAAATATTATTATACGTAACGTGTATTAAAAACTTACAATTAATAATATTTAACATTAAAGTCGATCCAACATGATGCATGAGAATGGAAAAAAGTAAATTATAGTTATCAAAAATTTTGCTGCCATCATCGCCGATTTGTAAAAATAGTGTACCTAATAATAAACTTACTGTTATATTTACACCTATTCGTAGATAAGTCAAATCCTAAAGAAAATAAATATTTCAATTATTTGTAATACATTTAAATAATTTATACTTATTATTTGAGTTCATTAAAATACGTTTATTTGTAATTTAACCAATTTAAGTACATTGAAAACTATATCAATAGTTTAAAAAAAAGATAATACAGTATGCATATTAGGTTAATAAAAGATATTTAAATTTCAATCTTATGAAATTTAATAAGTTTATATTTTTTTTATTGTGAAAATTGTTACTTATTTGTCATTGAAATATATTTATAGATAATCAATCAAAAATAATAATAATTTGTTCTGTATCTATTATTTTAAATTCTTAACAATAAATTGTAAATAAATTTAGTCTCAACATACCGGATCTCTTTTACATTTTAAAACTCCTCGATGTAATAAACATTTCAATTGATTGTAGGCAGAAGTTTCATGAATCACGTCGACCTTTTTTGATATTTTTTTAATTTCGTCTGCTTAATAAAAAAAAACAGTGTAATATTAAATATTTAGTTAATATGTATTTATTATTTTGTTTATATTTTTAAAACGCAAGTGTAATTGTTCAAATGTTCAAATTAAAAATTAAAGACTTAGGTTTGTGATTTGTCGTTTTTAATTCAACATTTTTTTTTTAGTCAAGTTAAGGTTATGCTGAATTATTTTAGCAACAAGAAAATAGTGTTCAATACCCGAAGGTGCGTCATTGATTGCTAGTAAATCAGAATGTCCTGTCCATGTTAAACATTTCCCATTTTCAATTTCTTTTGCCATCTTTTGAATTATGTCATTTCCGTGATCGCCACAAGCCAATTCAATCACTATGTTGTATAGCTTATTTAGTTAGGTATGAAAAGAGTAACGTATTATTTTATTTTATTATTTTACCAAAATCGGCTGGATTGTGATAGATGGGACAGGGCAATTCAAGTTTTGTTAGATATGGTATTATATTGCCAGTAGATCCTTGGTACAAACATGTGCCTTGTGAAAGTATATAAACTTGGTCAAACATTTGGAATAATGATGCACTAGGTTGATGAATTGTACATATTATGGTTCTTCCTTGGTGAGCTAATAATCTAAGAAGTGATATGCATTGAGAACACGAAGAACTGTCTAAGCCACTGTTCAACAAGAAAGTAATAATTATTATTTGTAATAGCGATGTTAAAAACACTAAATGCTTACGTCGTTGGTTCGTCTAGAAACATGACCATTGGATTGTTTATTAATTCTAGAGCTATTGAAAGTCTTTTCTTTTGACCACCGGATAATCTTCCAGTTCTCGTAGCCTTACATTTGTCGAGACCCAGTGTAGATAATATTTCGTCCACCTAAATAAAATAATACTCTACCTACTCAAAATTTTGTAAATGTTTATATTTTAAATCTTGAAAATGTCTTACCACAGCATCTTTATATTTTTGAGTTTTATCCATAGAGAGCTTAAGATTTGCAGCAATGCTCATGTTTTCATACACTGTTAACAGCGGTTGCAAGCGATCATCTTGTTGAATATAGCAAGACAATCTTCGGAAACTATCTAAACGCCTTTCTTCGCCATTTACAGTAACGTTTCCTCGGACCCCTTTCAAACTTAAAATAAAAATATTAATTAAAGCGTGATTTTTTTCGGTTTGTCGTTAAACTACATACTTATATCCAGATAAAACGTCTAAAAGTGAAGATTTACCCGCACCTGATGGTCCCATAATAGCAACCAATTGATTTGGTGCAAATATACCATTAATGTCCTTAAGAACATCTTTGGTTCCTATAGTTTACAATAAATAAATATAAATTTCTAAATAATTTGTTATTAAAAATAATATTATTTCATAGTTATAATTATTTTCAAAAAGTTTGAACGGTACTTTCAGATGTATGTTGGTGATGAACAAAATGTGAATGGTTATTTAATTTGAATACAATTATACAATGCATTAGTATTTAGTCTACCTAAGTATTATACATGAGAAGTTTATAAAATAGTTTATTTAAATTCATCTTGATTAGAATAAATATAAGTACCCACTGTATTGCCAATATATACTTTAAAATAATACAGATTTGTATATATGTCAACTGTTAACATTTTTATTGTGTAAAATTTAGTTTAGTATCGAATAAAATCAAGATATTATAATATGATAAAAGTATTACTATTAATCTAGGAATTTCAATTATATATTATGAAAATGAAAAATGATACAATTAATAATAGTAATGTGTTAAAAAAATACGTCTTATTACTCGCTACATAGATTCAAAAATAATTTTATAATTATTTTGGAATAATTCAAAAAATTTTTTATTTAAAAGTTTAAGTTATGTCATTATTAATTTTAATTGTGTAATTTAGTCTATATACATTATACATGCTTATATGAACATTCATATATTGTTAAAAAATATGATAATTCTAGTGGATTCTACTATTTAAATCATTTAACTGACTTTCTTGAATAAGCATCATTGTTGTATAGAAAAGGGCACTTAAATAATTAAAATAAATTAAATTTTAAAAAAAACATGCATCAAAATGTCATTTACACTTACCTTTCCCAATTCCAAGTGAGACTGTGTAATATAAGTTTTTAAACCTTAGTGTGACTTGATCTTGTTTTCTATCTTTAATGAACAGTCCTTTTGGCTCACATAGCCCGTTTGTTTCATCTTTCGACTCCATAGACTCACAACTAAAACATATAGGTACCTATATAACGTAAATAATTGCATAATACATACACTTGAGTTCGATAAAAAAAATAACTACACAAAATAAAATTATATAAATATCGTCTAAGTTCTTTAATCAATTAAAAATGCGTTAATTACCACAAACCTAAGGTCGCCTAGATATAAACATGCACAATGAACGGATATGTACTAATATAATACAAGTTGGGATCTCATATACAACGTCCCCCACTTGGCAGACAAAATATTCGGTAGTGACAGCTGTTCTACGATAAAAGGGTTTGAGATTCCTTTGAAATAACCTGGGCATGGACAATGAAATGCTTATCATAGGTATATATAACTATGTAAGGACATAAAATACGGTTGTTTTTTGTTTAACCGTTTTTTTTTTTTTAATGTACAGAGTGTTTAAAATATACACACCAAAAACGATTTTTAATGTTTATACTTCAATAGTTAATATACTTGATTGATTTTTTTTTATATTGGTCTTGATTTAACTGCTTATTTACGGCTATATTATTATATTTCTCTATAATTTATTTGATTTGAATAATAGTTTAAAAACAAATTAGGTAATTCGAGATTTTTTACTACTTACTTATATTTTTCAAGAAACCAACTAGGTATATCAATGTAATAAATTAATAAACATTTATTTTTTACAGAATAAAAGTTAACATTAAATTACATATAGCTTAATTTCAAAGTCTATAAGTAATTGATAAATGGTAATATATTAATATTACTACTTATAGAATATTAAATGTAAAACATAATCTTTCGCAATGCAATTAAAGTTAATATTACTTACTTGACTATACGGTAGTATAGCCAATTTAAAAAAAAATCTTTCTACATTTATATATTTTAACGCTTGATTGAAGAAATAAAATATCTACCTATACCTATAATAAAATAATGAGCATGATTCATTAGTAACATTTAATAATTTAAGTCTCTCTAACTTAATTTATCTTTATTACATAATTAAGATATTTCTATATTATGTTATCAATCTAAATTTTCAAAAAATATTTTATATTTCATTATAACAATTTAATTATTAAGATAGTAAATTTAAAAAAAACCATCAATACGTATATTGTAATTTGTTATAAATTTAAAACAAACGTTAACACTGTTATGTAATAATCATAATATACTAGTTAAATTTATAAATGAAAATATAAAATTTTAAATTTCAGTATAATTCTTAATCATGGCGTATATTTTCCAGTTTGAATAGACCATGTAGACAATATTATACTATACAAACAATAAATTGTACACGGTTCGGTAAATAAAATAAAAAACAATCAGTTTATATATTAGCAATAAGTAACGATCTGTGAGTAATAATGTATGCAAAAGCAGTTGCTAAATTTCTTACCTCAGAAATAAACAACATTACGCTATTTTAACAACCATAAATTTAATATTATATAGTATGACGTAGTTAGCTCCTATCTGAAAAAATAACTAAATGTCATAACTTTATAGTTAATAAATAATATAGTACCTACCTACTTAATGGGTTACAATTTACCATATTTTTATCTGTGCAATTTTTTTATGTAAAAGTATCATAGAATTTACCAAATACATAAGGTAGGTACTTATTACAAATTATAAACTATAAGTTACCAGGTAGCTTCTACCTATATAGTATTATATTACAATATCCTTATTGATTTTTCACTTATGTTAACACTTAAATCGTACATTTTAAAACCAGTTAATTAAACCATTATACGTCATCATCATAAATTATAATAGTAATATTTTATATTAATAAACGCAGTTAACCTATAACTTGGATTTTTAACTATGGCGTATTAACATACGTGGGTAATTTATAATTGAAAATAATGTAATATGCAATTTATAGGTATTTATAATTTAAACTACAATGTAGAACAAAGCATTAACTTTAATTTATTATTAGTTTACAAACTCAAAACATACAAAGTCAATTATAAATTATAATATATTGTGTACATATTATTATTAGAAAAATTAATAATTGTACTTTTTATAATCTAAATTTAATTTTGCTGTATAAAATTTTATTATATTTATTTTGAAAACAAACAAATTAAGATGTTTACTTATTTTATTTGATTAATTCTCTGTCTTTACCTTAATATTTAAAATAAAGTATAATAATATTGAAAATATTTCAATAATTAAACTTTTCTTTTTTGGAACATTCATAATCACATAAATAAGTGATTAATTAATTAATTATGGATATAATTTTTTTAAGTAATATAAATAAATAATTTTATACAATTTTATTTAAATAATTTAATGTTTTATTCTCTTAATTTTAGATATATTAGATTATTTATTATATTATTAAAAAAAAAAAAAATATGTTAAAAATGATTTGTTATAATCATAAAATTAGAATTAACGTATTTTTTATAAGCTGATGCTTTTCTAATTAATTTATAAAAACAAATTGTGTAGTATGAAAATACCAAAAAGTATTACAATATTCTCTGCTTTGTTTAACTTATTTAGTAATTACTATGTTTCAAATGTATTATATATTAAATAATTTAAATTTTAGAATTGAAATTATCAAGTTTATATTTATAGTTTTTACTAAAAAATCCGTATAATAAATTACCTACCTTTTTAGGCACACAATAATAATTACACTCGATAGTTAAAAATAACAACAATAAAATGTTGTGTTTTTCTACACAATATAAAATATAAAAGTTGTATCTATAATCTCAATTTATTACATTAAGTATAATAAAATAGATATGTAACTCCTTTACAAACCATGATCCATCCAAACAATAAAAAAAGTATTTTTTTATTGTTCGAATCTTGATTAAAAAACTGATCAAATTCTTATCAATATAAAATGTTCATAAATATTTCGAATCGCGATAAATATAAATAATACTTTGTTTTACACGGATATTAGGTACCTATATCAAATATAATCATACAACAAAGCTTTATACTTTTATATTACCTAATTATGTAATTACTGCACAGTTCATATCTGAAACAATACAATGCAATTCAAACATACGAATTGTATGTATTTATACCTGTAAATGGTACTATGACCAATAAGTAAAACATAAATATTTATTTAATTTTTTCATTTATGTATATAAATATACATTAATGACACAAATGATAAATTATACGCATTAAGTATTTTTTTTTTTATGTACATTTTTCAATGTATTAATGTGTAAATCTATATATTTTATATAAAGAATGTTCTGTTTTAATAAACGTCTATGCTTCATACAAGCCGATAAAAAAACTAGATGTATGATATGCGTCTACGCTGCTTAATAAATCACAAAACAATAAGTTTTTAGTGTACTTTCATTATTCTTGGGGATAAATGTAAACAAAGAGAACAGTATTTAGAAATCATAGAACAAAAGAATTTTTATATTGTAGTTCCAATAAGACTGTTATTATAAAACTGTTAGTATCAATTTATGATTTATTTAGTCATATTTAACATACAAATTGTATTAACATCTTTATGACGTGGATATATATATATAAGATAAAAACATACCAAAATGATAAAATATAAAAATCAACAATTTAAATATTCTAAACTATTATTTTAAAACATTATTATACTGATATTATATGATTTACAAATATAATACATACAGAAAGATTAAAATATTTATGTTAATTCATTACTTTATTAAATTTAACTTTGCAAATTAAATTGGTTATTTAAATTTTAAATTGAATAAATAGATACTATATGTATCAACCAAATAATAATTTTGTACCATATAAACACACTTCAGCACTTTTTATGTATCGCCGAATGCAATAGCAACAATTTTTATTTCCAAACTAATTTAGATAAGTAATTTATCATTGCTAATATAATTCATTAAGAGTCATATTTTAATTTGACGATAAAAACTTATAACATATAATAGGTACTACCTTACTATTTGTAAACATATAATTTAATTACATTTTCTGCCAAATATTTGTACATTATATTTTATTTTATTCATTAACCATAGTTCATGAGATTAACACGTAAAAGCTTAACATTTCAAAAATGTATACATTAATATAAAAAAATATTTATTTAAAAAATTAATTAATTCTTAAAATATTTATAATTTTATGTATATATTTTATGTATTTAAGCTTTATTTTATTTTTATGTAATAATCTAAAATTAAAAAGTATAAAGATTTAATAGTATGAATTTCTGTAGAGGGACTTTTGTCTGGTGGAAATAAACAACGGCAAATAAACCCACTATCTACAAAACAGTTAAACATTTATAACACTCTGTATACTAGCTATTAACAAAGTTTTATCACGGTTTATCTTTTTTATTGAAAAAATCTAGGTTTATAAAAATCAAATGTAAATTATATTAAGCTGTTAAATAGATTAATATCCTGTATTGATAAGAATTATTTAAAGGCATTGAGTTGCATATATTTTTTCTGTATTAACAATAAAAAAATAAAACATTGTTAAAATTCTAATAACTATCAATCTGTGGAATTTAACTTTAATTTATAAAATCACATTTTCAAGTAACAAAAATATAACAAATTGTTTATGAACAAACTTTAACAAAATTTATGAGAAAAATAATAATTGGTCTTACAATTAATTATTATGTTTTTTCCAATAAATCGAATATATATTATATATTGTAAAAAAGTATACATATATATATATATATATACCTATATCTATAAATATTCAACAAGTTTGAGCGTTTTTAAGTACAACTTTTATTATAATTAATTTTTTTTCAGTTTTGTGTAAATTAAGCGAAAAGGTCTAAAAAAATTGTATAATTAACTATCGAATAGCAATTCTTGAAAAAAAATCGTACGCATGAATTGTGTGATGAACTCTAAAAGTTTCAATTTAATCAACATTATTTTCTTTTAATTTTTACGAAATAAAGTTGCATACTATTTTCTTTTAAAATAAATGCATATATTATATATATATATATATATA